CCTCCCCGGGCTAATCTCGCCGCAGTACAGTCCAATGGCGCTAGCGTGTGGGCCTTTCCGCACGAGGCGAAAACCAAAGTGGCGTGTCCGACGCGGGCAAGCCGGAGGAGAAGCAAGCCCGCAAGCAACCGCAACCGGAGAGGTGGTGCACCTGGCCCGCTAGCTCGCGCACCACACGCGCGCGCAGCAGCAGCAGACGTGCCGCCGCTTGGCGCGCTAATCAGTAGGCGTAGTGCTCCGTCCGTTGCCTGGATCGATCGATCGGCCGAGAGGCGCGCGAGAGGGACGGGTCGGGGCAGCGCGAATCGCCCAAGTGGGGGAAGGTGGCCTGCCTGCTGCCTTGCTGCGATGATGATACGACTCCAGCGCCTCTATCTCGAAAAAGAATTGGATTTGAACGCAATGGAATACAACCAGGAGGCGTCGAGGGATCTTATTATAGCTACCCATTAGAAACGAGGGCTAGAAAGGGTCATGCAGCTGTCATCACACCCCGGAGCCCTCTCGTCCAGCGCACGGCCGCCCCCTTCCCTCCCTCCCTTCCCCTCCAAGTTGTGATATCCTTCCCCTCCCCCATCTCTTCCTAGGCACAGCGGCTGGGTTATGGAAGAGCAGCTTTCCACCCGGATCGAAGTCGGGAGGTGTCTGTGCTGGATCGGACCAAACCTGCCCGGCCAAAACCGCTACTAAGCTGACAGCGGACGGACCAATCGGGCAAAGTCTCCTGCGGAGTCCAGGTTAGCTCAGCTATCCGTGTAAGAGTTTTGATCCCAACAATACTTGGGTCCTCCGAAAGACCCAAACAGAGAGGAGGAGCCGAGGAACGACGGTCGACTCGGCTGCACGTTCGCGGGTTGCGTCCTAGAGCAAGAAGAAGAGATGGCGGCGACGACGGCGGCATCGTCGTCGTCCCCGGCTGGCGGCGCCTCGTCGCCGGCCCAGGCACCGGGCGGAGGCGGAGGAGGAGGAGGCGGCGGCGTGCCGTACCACCGGTCGCGGTTCGGCGACACGACGCTGACCAAGGTTTTCGTGGGCGGGCTGGCCTGGGAGACGCCGTCCGCGGGGCTGCATGACCACTTCCGGGAGTACGGCGAGATACTCGAGGCGGTCGTCATCACCGATCGCGAGACCGGCCGATCTAAGGGCTACGGATTCGTACGTCCTCTCTCTCTCTCTCGCCGATACATACGCCATCGCCGGCGATCCGTCCGTCGTTCTCATCGGGCGCGTTCCCATCTTCTCTTCTCTCTGTGCGCAGGTGACGTTCCGGGACCCGGAGTCGGCGCAGCAGGCGGTGCAGAACCCGAACCCGATGATCGCCGGCCGGCGCGCCAACTGCAACATTGCGTCCATGGGCCCGCCGCGACCATCGCCGCAGAGAGGTGAGCAACAGTGAAAATAACAGCACCGAATCAATGCCCTCCTTTCTTTTTCTCTCCCTTCCGTTTGCTCGCGCATGTGCATGGCAGTAAATAACAGGGGCATGATCAGCGGGGATCGGCCGTACGCAATTAGCAGGATAAGCTTGATTAGGGCTCGCGTATTTCCTTCTCCTTCCTTCTCCTCCTCCTTGCGTGTTAGCCCGCGGGTTAGGATAAGGGGATCGTTAATGGGCGGGGCCCGGCTCCAGCTGCTGAAAGCTTTAAAAGACTGGGGCGCCAGCCGAGACGAAGCAGGACGACGACTTGGAGCACTTTGGCCTGCATTGGGAGGGGCGGCATGCTCAGGCTGTCAGACATGCACACTCCATGCCTCATGGCTGTGCTGGGTTGGGTTGGGTTGTGCTTCGCCAGCCTGGCCTCTGCATTCAGTTACTGCTATACAGTACTGATTTTGACTACTTATATCAGTTACCACTCCGGCCTCCACAAATATAGCTCTTCTTCTTCAGTTGAAGATTTTGACTGTGATTGATTTTCTGTTTTCAGTCTTGTGGCTGAAGATATAACCAGAGTTCTCTAGTCAATCATATGCCAATTTCATGGTTAAAGTATGGAAACACTGATATAGAAACCCATTACGGATTTAACCTTTTTTGGGAGCATCAATGGTGGTTATGACGGACGGGTCTGAGCTAGCATTTTGCTGTTGCTGCATATTGGGAAAGAATTGGCTTCGATTTGAAGCGGTGATACGACCAAGCGTTCCAGCGGGAATGCGGTGTAAAGGGGGTGGTGCATGTTAGCTATCGCTGGAGGGAGAATCGGGAACCCGGCCGCTTTGCCTTTCTGGTCAAAATCAGTGCACGGCATCGGAAAAGAGTTCCATTGCATATACAACTCTCGTACTTGGCCTTTGACAGGGTTTAGTTTGGTGGCTGTCAACGACTCTGGGGAATATATATAGGTGCTGCATGTTGCTTGGATTGCTTCAACTCGTTGCGTTTGCTTGAATTGGTCTCTCATGATATTGATCTGGTGTTACTTTATTGATTCGGGATTTTCCTTGCTGCTTTCCAAATGATTGGGTGAACGGCGCTGTTGCACTGAACTTTTCTCGTTCTTTTTTCCATGATAAAACATTTTGACTTTTCCCGTGCAGAAATAATAGTTGGGTTTGCATGCTGTTTTTTTGTAGTATTTTCAAAAAAAATGTATGGTTAGAGTGCAGTACAGCACACGAGTACCAGACTGGCGTAGGTTGTAGTGCAAGCTAGCTAAGAAAAGTCTTGCATTATTTGGCACTGCTCTAATCTACACAATGTGTGTATAAAGAAACCTCCACAATTCCTCTATTGTTATCCTTTTGAGAAGATTCTCTTATTTGAGAAAAAGAATTGGCCAAATGCAGAGAGAGGTAAACATCTGGCGCCCTATCGTTTTTCTTTGATGAAAAACCGAAAGGTTTTAGCCAGGCAATTGATTAGCCTGAGGAAAAGATACAGGAGCGTAGGAAATCATCCATCCATCCATGCATGTGTGTCCCGGGCTCCCGGCACAACGTAGTAGGGCACATGGCATTTTCCCTCGCGGTGCATAGTCCATCCAACTGTTTTGCAACCCCTGGCCGGCTGGCCGTGTGGCCCCCTGCCTGCAATACGTGCGTGATATGCTACCTCTTCACAGCACATTTATTTGTTGCTTTGTTTGGGTGCGAGTTGCTTCCTCTGCAGCCCAACAATAGTGTGTCATGTCTAATTATTATTATTTTGAGAGAATCATGTCTAAATTATTTGTTTGTGTGTCTGCAGGGAGGGCCCCACGCGGGCCGGATCAGCAGCACTCGGGCCCGCAGCCATACATGGGCGGCAGGATGCACCACCAGCAGCAGATGCCCACCCCGCCTCACGCCATGTTCTACACCCCTTCACCGTACGGGTGAGTGCCATGTCCCCATGTACTACTGTCTACTGTCTACTGTCTACTGTCTACTGTATGTATCATGTCAGTTCCGCTTTAAAATCGCAATGCATCATCGTACACCGCACATCGTGGGATCTGGGTGCGCTGCAGGTTCTCAACCCTCGCTTGGGCAGGTGCAAGACCTATTGTTAATGTCCCAGTTCCGTAATAAGGTAGTAGTGCTATAGTTGAAAAAAAAATCAGACAATGATGGGTACAAAAGCATTGTTTCGTAGTGACGGCCCCATGTCACAGTGGTTGCATTTTTCGTGGTTCAGGGGGAATGCTGACCCTGAGGTAAATTAGTTTGCGTTTGCTACGGTGGTGTAGTACAATAGACAACTACGTACTTCTAGACCAGGACTGATCCGTTAGCTGAAGTGAGGAACCAACATAGACGTTGTTGGTTGCATTTTTGTGGTTCAGAGCTATGCTCATCCTGAGGTAGTAAACAGTTTGAACACACATAGTCGTAGCCTCGTAGGCGTTGTTGGTAGTTGCTCTTTATTGTAGGAGTAGTAGCTGATGGGGCAGTTACCGAACCCGACTGACTGACTAGACGCTGCTCGGAGCGAGCGAGGTCAGGTCAGCACTCAGGTCGGGTAGCTTTCGCGCCGCAGCTTTCGGCTTCAGCTGCCGCTTCCTCGACTGGACTGATGGGTTTTCGGATACCAAGGAAGCACGGCCGGGCCCGCGCGTGCCCGTTTCCCCCGCGCGTTGGGCCCTCATGGGAGGCCCGTTCATAAATGCGGCCTCGGCGACGGCCATTCAACACCGATGGGGCCCGCCGTCTCACCATCTGCTGACTTCTCTAGTCTAGACCAGCATGGGCGGCATGGGGTGTGGCCTTGCCTGCGAACGCTCGCTGCGCTCCGTTGGCTTGCTTTGCTGGGAGAGTTTAATGCGTGCCTGCGTCCAGATCTCTGGTGCCACTTGGCTATATTTTTTATGCAGCGCTGCTGCTGGGTTGCGGTTGACGTACCCCATATATGAAATTTATTGGAATGGGCAGTGTGGAGTACAGATCGTTGGCGCAGGATTCCTTGACCGGTCTGTCCAGGAACAAGTACTGCTACTACTTGAGTCGTTTCTGAAAGGAAAAATTACAAACCGCGTCAGGTTTCTGCATTTTTACTCGTACTCCCTCCGTTCCATAATATAGTGCCTATAGATTTTTGGAAAAGTCAAATCTTACAAACTTTGACCAAGTTTGTGGAGAAAAACATTTACATTTAGAATGCCTAACATATATTGTCAGATTCATCGTAAGATGTATTTTCATATTTTATATATTTGATATTGTATATATAAATAGTTTTCTTTATAAACTTGGTCAAAGTTTATAAAGTTTGACTTTATAAAAAATTTATAGGCATTACATTATGGAACGGAGGGAGTATATGCATAGGCATAGCCATGTGCTTTCTCTTTGGTGCAAATTTGTTTATACTTGTGACTGGCCAACCAGCTGTGTTTAGGTTCTTGCAACCAAGCACCCTCTTTATGAAAACAGTACTTGTACCAGTATTTTGTACTGCAAAAAAATGGAAGTAGAGGAAGGAGTGTTCATTTGAGATAACAAGTTTGAGCTTTATAGCCATGATTGCTCGTACATATGTCTCTGATCCATGATGGTGGGCTCGTGCTTGGCTTGGTCCCTATCTGTCTTTTTAGTAAGGCGCTGATGAAGTTATGTAAACCTTTGCAGGTACTGGTACCCACCTGATTATCCATACCAGCAGGTAAGCACTATATTCATCTCTTTCAATATTGTCATTTCTCTTGTTTTATTCCACCACATGTGACTGCTCCTTTGTATATCCGCTCTTTAAAATGCCAGCAGTACCCAACATATGTAAATGATCTGTATGTGTGTATGAGTGTAAATGATCTGAAATCAGGATTTTTGTAGTCACCCCTTAATTTTAGAAGTTTGAATACCAGCAATCTTCAACATTGAATCTTGTGGATAGCTGCATTGGATTTCCAATGGAATTAGCAAATCACTAGTGACACGAATTGTCGACCAAAGTCAGACACTAGCACAATACTGACCCACTTATTTTAGAACTGACTGAAACAATGAAATGTTTGAAAATTTATATGCAGGCCTATTACAATCAAATGCAGCAATACTACTCTCAGCACTATGGCCAAACATCCCCTTCAACATCACCATACCCATTCATGGGGTTCATGACAAGTGGCCAGAATCCAAGGGCCGGCTTCTCGCCATTGCACCAGCAAGCTGCGCCGCCGCCGTTCTTTCAGCAGACGACCGAGGGTTCTTTCCAGGCAGCGCCTTCGCTCCCTCCTAATTTCAGACTCCAGTTGCCCCCTCGTGCAATCTCAAGGCAGTCTGATGATGTATCCGGTATGTCACCCTCAGTTTTCAGACCACCAAAATATAATAAACATTTTGCTGTTTTCATACTCATGTTATTCATATGTCGAATAAGCGACTATGTTCCCATCTTTTTTGATCAAACTTTGCAGTAAACTCATGCCTTTCTGCTGACATATGTTGCAGGTTCACAACCAACTCAGACAGTATCCGAGGCTGAGGCTACAAACGCAGATAACCAAGAAGCTTCAGCGCCTGTTGAAAGATCAAATTCAGAGGAAAACACCTCGAACTGACTCGCTGAACTGAAAACTCCGCCAAAATGATTTGATGCCGATCTGGACAGGACTATTAGTAGCCCGCAAAGGAATACAAAAATACTCGTTTCTTGACTGGAAAAAAGAATAGCATCCAAATATTTGTTCTTTCATTATTTCTGATTCTTTTCCTATTTCTGCACTGCATTTATTTGGTGAACCCATTGTACTGCGAAACTGAAACTCACGCCAGTAAATGGAATTCGCCAGAATAAGTCCCGGAGGCATATGCTGCCAGTAGTCGTCTTCTCTATGTCTACGTCTATGAATTTTTTTGGTTTGTTCCTACAACACTCGATTGTTACAGAATAGAGAAATGTTCTTCAGTAGGACTGGTGAAACTACGTACACATCACTGAGAGAACGACATCGTCGATGCATAGTTTGTCTTAGCATACTGTTGGATCATTTTCTTCACCAGTCCAGAATTGATAAGGACGCACAACGGGTTTAAACAGTAAACGCCTTATTCGATTTACCCATCACATTGATCAGGCTGATTCAACAAGACAACAACATTTTCAGCTTTTAGGATCATCGGTCCCTCCAAGCAAGAATGCGACGAGGCGGTCGATGCCAAGAGTCGAAGTCCCGCCGGCCTCTGCCGCCGCCGCGGCCTTCTCCTTCCACATCGTCGCCTTCGCTCTCATGTCCTTGCCTTTCTCGCCGTCGGTGGCCTCGAGGACGAGCCTTGCCACCTCCTCCCTCCTCACGTCGCTGTCGATCTCCAGCCCGATGCCCCACTCGGCGCAGGCGTATCGGCAGTTCGTCGTCTGCTCGGCGAAGAAGGGCCAGCAGACCATCGGCACGCCGGCGCACATGCTCTCCAGCGTCGAGTTCCACCCGGAGTGCGTCAGGAACAGCCCGGTCGCCGGATGCCCCAGGACTTGTTCCTGCGGGCACCAGCTCAGGAAGATCCCTCGGTCCTTCGTCTCGGCGAGAAACTCCTCTGGCAGCACGGCCTTGTCGCCGGCCACGAGGTCCGGCCTGATGACCCACAGGAACGGGCGGCCGCAGCGCGCCAGGCCCCACGCGAACTCCGCGAGGTGGGCCAGCGACATGACGGTGATGCTGCCGAAGTTGACGTACACGACTGAGCCGGGCTGCCGGTCGTCGAGCCAACGGAGGCAGCTCGCGTCCTCCTTCCAGAGGTTGCCGCCGATCGCGTCCAGCTCGGGCTGCGCCCGCGCCGCGGTGACCGCGAACGCCGGGAGCGGGCCGACCGTGTACACGCGCGGGAAGATGCGTCGTAGCGCGTCGACGACGTTCTGCTCCACCGCGTCGAACGTGTTGAGGATGACGCCCTGCGCGCGGTGCGCGTTCTGCGCCTCGCCGCCGTCGAAGTTGAGCATGACATCGTCCCGGTCGGTCGTGCGGACGAAGCTGGGGAAGTCTCGCAGCCTTATGCGCGGCATCCCGGGCACCCAGTCGAGCGCCGTGTCCAGGTATCCGTTGGTCAGGTAGCTCTCATCTACGACATGTGCAGCACAGTTATAATTTGCAGTCAATCACATACTGTCATACTCCATGGGGTGGTACCTTTGAGTGGCACGAAGCCTCTTTCGATGAGCTCGAAGAAGTGGAGGTACCCCATGAACCCACACGCGCTGGTGGTCCAGAACACCAAGGCCGGGACGCCCCTCTCGTCGGCCACCTCCACCGCGAAGCTCATCACCCCGTCCGTTACCACGCAGCTCACCGGCGGCCTCCCGTCGTCGATCATCCTCGCCAGCAGGTCCCTCAAGAGGGCGGCGCCGTGCGTGGCGAAAGACGTGCAGAGCGCGGGGACGTCCTGCGTGACGTCCTCGTTTTCCATCGGCGGCAGGCCGTCCGGGATGGTCTCGAACCGGAAGTCGTCGAGGCCGGCCAGCGAGTCCTCGCCGCGCGACCGGAGCAGGCGGCGGTGGTTGTACTCCGAGTTGACGAAGGTGACGTAGAAGCCCCTGGCATGCAGCACCTTGGCGAGGTTCAGCAGAGGCGTCACGTGCCCCTGCGCCGGGTACGGGATAAGCACGGCGTGCGGGCGGCTCATGGCTGTCTTCTCTCCGCCTGGTGACGCCGGCGGCTGCAAGGTTTATGTGTCGTGGCACCAAACGGGCCGGGACAAGAGGGTGATATATATAGAGAGCCGTTCTTGATTGTTGTATATCTCAACATATAAGTTGGAGGGACCAAATATAAAATATAGTATTCCGTGAGGAGCATACATATGCTCGCATTTTTTTTAATTCGAACCTGATACGCCCTTCAAACACATTTTGAAAAGCATAATGCAATTGCCACCAAGAACTACATCAAGAAAAGGGAAGCTGGAAGGTACTATACCTTGCCACAATTGTCACCTGGATTGAACTAATCATTTCCTTTTTTATTGTGTTGCTGCTGCACATGTGTCTGCAATTTCAGGTTATTCCGCAGCATGCATAAATTTCATTTAACAATCAGATTAATTAATGGCTTGGGTGCCATCTGCCCGCCACGTGAAAATATATAAGTTGGATCAAATCTAAGAAGATATTCCATGGGAGCATATATACATACTCACATTTCCAATTACGAACCTGACAAAGAAAATCCTATGAAACCAGATTTATCTTCTTCTTAAGCTAGACATGTGGGAAAAACCAACACAAAGGAGAGATTAATGGGAAGTTACTTCCCAGTTCACAAATAAGTGATGCATGTTTTGGGCAATGACACAATTTTCAAGATGTAGCTTTGATAAATGACTCTTTTAATGTATTACTAGTATATAGGCATAAAACCCTAGAAAATTTGAGACAAAGATTTATATATTTGGTTTCAAGGCTTTCAATATAAACAATAAAACTCTAAAAGCGATGATCACAGTCCAAGTACAAAATTTTCACTGAAACAATATCTTAAACACCACTTATTTTTTTGTGAGATTAGAGGGAATGTAACAAAAAAGTAAAACATTCAAAGGGATGTGCCGTGTATATGCTGATTTTATGGCGAGTGTTACTTGTATTACTAGCTTTACCATACATTTAAATATTTTCGCATGTGCACGATTCAACAAGACAATATGTATGTGCTTTTCTAAGGCTTTGTAGTGTATGATTAAGGCCAATCTTGTTTGGAGACACCTTAAGCTTTTTGGACCTGCTATTAGGCCGCAACCAGAAGCGGTTGTTAGTTATATAAGACATCACTGCTCTCCGTAGTTCAAAGAAATTACATAAAATGCCACTGTGAAAAATACCATCCCACCCTTTTCCGTCCCCTCTTCTTTCTGCCCTTTCTCTCATTTCAGTCATTTTTCTGGCACATAACAACTCTATTGCCAACCAAATAACAAATATTCAACGCAACCGCTTCCCTTGCACAATAGTTTTTCTAGGGAATCTTGCATAGTAGATTTGCCGCTACAACTAGCCCACAACTGATTATGTCACACACACAACCAAACAAACCGAGGCTAATTCTTTGACATGGATATGGGATCACAGAGCGGATTTTTGGATCCATCCGATCTTGCATCTAAACGCTATAGGGGTATTTGGCCAAATGAATACACCTTTTAAGTGCTGAAAAGATACAAAAAGGGTATGCATGTAGAGGATGGATATATGTTTTTCTTTTTATGAAAATAATCATATTATTATAAAAGATCACCGGAAAATAAAACATCTCAAATATATAAAAATTAAATCGAGATTCTGAGACCACGAATGACCACTACCGCCCTCACAAACTAAGAATGAGCCGCCAACATGCCACGGTACCCGTTCCCCCACTGGAGCCGGCTTGACCATGTCCATAACAGCCTAAAAGTCTTCATGCACATTCCCCTAATGACCAGTGCCCTAGAGCCACAGTCGTCACCGTTGAATCTTTGCATAGATCTGAAGCACCTCGAACCAAATCTTGTCACATGACGAGAAATCCTAACCTCACTGCCCCAAGGAGACGGCATGAATCTACGTCAGAGCTCCGTCGACTACGCCCAGACGGACGGAGCCGAGGAGGATCGGAACTCGAAAGACAAACTCGAAGAAGCGGCGCCATCCGCCCAACAGTCGCACCTGCAAGGTCTAAAAAATCCTAACCTAAACTACTAGTCGGATTGGAGGCATCGGGAGTCCCATCCCCGCCACCGGTCGCCGAAGCGGTAGGCGGAGGGGAGACGAATCGACGGGCTCGCTGATGAAGGTTGGAGGGGAGAGTTTGTCCTAGCCGCCTAGAGTTAGGGGAGGAAAAAGAGAGGTGTAGATGGTGAGGATGCATATATGTATATGCACATAAAATTTGAAACTTAAACATTGTCGTATGCAACCTGCACAAAATTCACAAAATGACCAACAAACAATCACACATGCTTGTATATTGTATTCATTATTTGCATGCATACCCCCCCCCCCTCCCCAAATAAATTTTCGTACGAGGCTACACGCAGAGAGTGGGCTAGATGAGCATTCTCCTACGAGTCCACGAGCAGATAGAGGTATTTGGTTGCCTTCTGCAATAGTACCTGCATTTCATCCCCGTTTCAACCCAGCCTGATTAAACAAAAACAGGCAACAAACCAACATATGTATGTTGTTTGGTTGCCTACACACGTAACACACATACGTATCTTGTTTCTTAATTATGTGGCACGGACATCATCTAGTATGTAGCCTATGTCGTATTTGACGTCCAAACCAGATATAAGTATAAACATATAATATAGTGATGTAGGGAGAGCAGCGATTCAGTGCCCAGACTCATCTGCACCAGCGTTGAAGAAAAAAATTCAAAACAAATAGTAGAAAAATTCAAAATATTCTTCTTTTTTTGCATGGTTGATTATTTGGTTCGTGAGGTCCGCTCCAAATTTCAGATAATTTAAACACCTGAGTAGCTCTCAACAAAAAAAACAAAATTTTCAAACTTTTTCTTTTTTTTTTGAATTGTTTCTTGACCGGGGTGCAGATGAGTCTGGGCTCAAAAATGGATATTCATGTAGCATCCTATTCTGTGATTCTCCTCAATTTGTGCTGATTTCTCTATCGTTCCTTCTAGGGCTGGAAAAAAAGCTCGGAGATCGTGAGTTAAACGAGTAGCTCGTGACTCGGCTCGAATCGACTCGAACTCGAACAATAACAAGTCAAGCCGAGCTTTAGTTTAAAATCGTTTATAGACCGAGTTAAACGAGCCGATCTCACGAGTACTCGTTTAACTCGTTAAAAAAATCAGTGTTTTCTAGGAGTAGCAAAAAACAATCACTAAACACCTTGCGTCCCAGCACAAGGCTCGGCCACTCAAGGCCCAGCCTCCCATGATACTCTCACGTACATGTCCATATATGTACATGTTAAAATCCATGTTAATCTTTTTATCGTATTTATAAGGTTATATGGTCATATCTATAACGAGTTTAACAAGCTAAACGAGGCAGCTCGCGAGTTATACGAGTCGAGCCAATCTTGGATTTGAGCTCGTTATAGAAACGAGTCGAGTCGAGCTAGCTCGTTAATGAAACGAGCTTTAGCAAGTCAAGTCAAGCTGGCCGACTCGGCTCGAATTCCACCCCTAGTTCCTTCCGCAACGTCGCCCTCCCGGAGATAGAGCCGCGACGAAGCGGTCGTGCTTACAGCAATTGCAACGTTTTTCTCCCGGTAGCATACTAGCATGTGGATCGATCATGCATACAGTACTTGTCTTATTTCTTAGTAGCATGTGGATTGGAGGATCGATCGATCATGCATGCTTGTCTTATTTCTTGGTAGCATGTGGATTGGAGGATCGATCGCCCTCGTTGGAGTGGTCACTCCTCGTACTGGTTCAGCGCTGCCGTAGTTTATACGCCGACTTATCTTGTGAAGACTACTGCCTCGTGCCCTCGTGGCGCATCCTTATCGGGATCTATGCCAAGCCGATCGAGGTGTAACAATTACGTATCTGCCGAAGCTTTTCTGACGTGCTTACGGCACCTAAACATCAGCAGATTGACTCATTGACAGGACATTGTTCAGTGACGGCCTGCATCTCTGAGAAGAAGAAAGACAAGCATACTACAACCAGTTTGCAAGAAAAAAAAATTAAGACAAAGTTTGCAAGAAATGAATCAGCCCACAAGTCAAAAGGAAAATGCATCGGGCCAATATAAAGATGGCCGAACATACATGTCCTCGGCCCATTCTGATAAAAGAGGTTCCCGGTCACCTGAAAAGTGCTTAAGAATTCACTATTTCACGCGCCTTACGTCAAGTTGTAGTTTATTCGCACAGCAACGACCGACATGGGCCGGCACATTTTAGACAGCGACCAGTCATTGCAACAGGTTTTGGGAAACTTTGGAAGGTTCCAACCTAGGTTTTACCGGTTTTGGGAACCTGAACCGGTTTTATTACTGTCTTTTTTTTGTTTTATTATTTACTTTTCAAGTTTAATATTATTTTCCCAAAAAAGTTTCAAATTTTAAAAAGCATTCACCTTTAGAAATTTTTGTGTTTTCAAAAATTGTTTGGAATTTCAAAAAAATGGTTTTTCGAAATTTTCTCACAAATTCGATTTTTTGGGGAATTTTGAAAAATACTTGTCGTTTCAAATTTTATTTGGAATTTCAAAATTTGGTCCAGTTTTCAAGAAAAAACAGAATTTATAAAATCTTCGGGACAAATTTTGAAAGAGGTAAACAATTTTTTTCAAATTGCCTGACATTTTTTGAGGAAGAGAACATTTTTTTAAATCCCGAAGAAATTTTGAAAAGGCACGCACATTTTTTGGCGATATGTACATCTGCTCGTTGTGATGCCACCCAATGGGCCGACCTAGTTTTGTCTACCGTGTACATCACACTCTTATTCGGCACAGAATGCATCAAATAGGAGGTCCCAACCGCTTAGTTGATTTGGAGCATACGAAAGCAGCGTCAAGGCCGATACAAGGGTGACACCGTCGTGGCATCCCCGGCGAGGTCAAGCCAGGACCTTGCCAAAGAAAGGGACGAAATGGTTGGTTGGCGAAGACGAGGACGAGAATTGACTAGTCCGGGTGAGGGCTTTTTTTGTTTTAGCTGCGACTTAGATTGGATAGCCGGGGGAGCTGAAAAAAATTATATGCAGCCCACTAATTTCAAGGAGAAATCAGTCCACTTGCTCGTGCAACATCGTGTGGTCCTGCACGCCGCTTTCCCCGGCTCCCTATAAATAATTTTTTTGTCTTATTTTTTAACCTTCTCAAACATCTTTTTCACCCATTCCCCATCTTTCACTTATCCCGTCTCTCTCTCTTCCCCTTCCCTTCTCACTCTCATCATTCTCCCCCCTTTCTCTCTCTACATGTTGCCTAGCTGTCTGCACCACTTCCGCAACTCGGAACCCACCACACTATCGACTGTGTTTGATATTGTTGTCGCAAGCCAAAGGTTGCAACAATCATTGTTCCTCCCTATCATTCTCGAAGCTTGCATTGTGTGTTGGTCGAGTGTTACAAGCGGACCACTCCACATCACTCGTTGTTGCGAGCCGGTCGCACGGTGCTACAATGGTCGCCGCCCAATGCTACAAGCACCAAGCCAGCATCATTGCGAGTCGACGGGGACGACATGGTGCTGCGAGGTTGTCGAGCCGTGCTACAAGAGCGTCACTGGACAAGGGTTGTCACCTTCGACACTACATGCGACAAACAAGCCAAAGGTGTCAAAACATGTTGACCACCATATTGCAAAGGGGTGTCGGAGGTGCTCCAAGGGGGTCTTTGTTGGCGCAACGGAGGAGCCACCGGTGCTGCAAGGGGGTCGCCGCGTAAGCTAAAAGCGGTGTTGCCGATGCTGCAAGGGGTCGATTTGGGCAAGGTTTTTTTTGGGAGGGGGGGGGGCGGATGCGGGGCACAGACAGTCAGATGCATGAAGAAGATGGCGAGACGAGGCACCTACAGTGACTTTGTAGATCTCAAGATGATATGCCGGCTCAGTCTCTCGAAGGTGCTCATAGGGTAGGTTGTGCGTGTGTGCATTCATAGGGTGAGTGTATGCGCGTATGTATGAGCGCTTGCGTTTGTACTGTGTTGAAAAAAGTTGTGTTGACTCGTTACAACGAGGCTGACCAAACGTTGGTGACGTGGCTAATGGCCGGAACGGATCAACTAATTGACCCCGTAGCAGCGAACCAACCTGTGGTTGGATGGTTAGAGAGACTGTGGTATCCCCAGCCTAACAGGGTTCAAATCCTGGTGCTCGCATTTATTCCTGAATTTATTTCAGGATTTCCGGCGATGCACATTCAGTGGGAGGAGATGTTCCCGTTAATAAGGGTGAGTATATGCGCGTGTATATGAGCGCTTGTGTTTGTACTGATGTTTAAAAAATTGACTCTGTAGCATCCGCCTTGATTAACCCACGGACTATGATACTCCCGCCCAAGACCAAATCCATAAGAAAAGGCGTACTAGAGTTAGTGAATCGTTTTCCTCGTGTCCCTGGCGGCTGGAACCCTAGCCGCCGCCAGGAGACTCAATCTTTCAGTGCCGTCCTCCGGCGGCTCCCCTCCGCCGGCGACCTCGGTCGTCGGTGGTGAGGGGGGTCGCCGGATCCACGCGTGTGGATCGTTTTTACTTCCTCATAGTTTAGATTTTTAGTTTGTTCATCGTCTTTGTTTTGGCGGCGACGATGACAGCGCTGAATAAAGATTCTTCGGATCCTTCCTTGACAAGGCCATTGGTCCTATGGTTGGGGATGGATTTGGAAACCAGTCTGTTCAAGCAAGGATGGCGTGGCGGCGACGGCATCCTCGTGGTGGACATGTGTCCTCGGGCTCCGCCGTTGCGCCGGCGTTTGCTCCAGCATCGGCGCGGAGCTCGGGAGGTAGTCCAGGAGCGGATGCAGATTATGGTCTGCATCGACGACATCTGGAAGACGGAATATGTGCTGGGTTCGTGGTTCGTGGATGGCAGGTATGGTTTCCTTCCACGACGTCTTAGTCGGCGTGTCCGGGGTGTTGCCCCAATCTGATTCGTTCAACGGTAAGGGCTTCACTTTTGGTGAGCCACCTTGAAGGTCCGCAAAGCTACATATCAGCGATGGAGCAGTGTCGAGCTCGGGTGAGGAGGTGATCCATCATTCTTTTTTTCAGTGGCTGCAGTCGTGGTGCCGGAGGCAGGTGATGAGCGTTGGCGTCAAGCTCAGAGATGTTCTGCTATCTTTTCAGTTTTGTCATGTCGGTCCTTACGTGACTTATACTTTAATCTTTATGATATGAATGAGACACGTATTACCATGAAAAAAAAACCGACGGACTATCCCGAGTACTAATAATTTACATCTCGAGGAAAACTACTCCTCCCAACTCCCAAGCATCTTGGGCACGACACGCGTTATTATTTGCAGCGCGGCAAAATCACACTGCAGAATTTCATCTACTCATTCTATCTTGTTTCTTCCATCTTTGTGATGAACGCAGTTCTTCAGTGAAGGAAACTTGGCAAAGCGAAATGAGACAGAAAACATCCGAGCACCGGGGAGACCAGCATATACACGCGCACTTGGTTCAGATAGCACCATCACACCCGGCACGCAAGAACTCGACCAGCCGATCCATGTTCTGGCTCGACGAGCCACCTGCCTCCGTCGCCGCCCTGGCGCTCTCCTTCCACGCCGCCGCGCTCGCTCTCATCGCCTTGCCCCTCTCGCCGTCCATAGCCTCACGCACCAGCCGCGCCACCTCCTCCCTCGCCACGTCGCCGCCGATCTCCATCCCGATGCCCCACTTGGCGCACGCGTACCGGCAGTTGGTCGGCTGCTCAGCGAAGAAGGGCCAGCAGACCATCGGCACGCCGGCGCACACGCTCTCCAGCGTCGAGTTCCACCCGCAGTGCGTCAGGAACAGCCCCACCGACGGGTGCGAGAGGACGCGCTCCTGCGGGCACCAGCTCGCCAGGACTCCCCTGTCCTTGGTGTCCCGGACGAATTCCTCCGGCAGCACGGCCTTCTCGCCGGCGACGAGGTCCGGCCGGACGACCCACAGGAACGGCCGGCCGCAGCCCGCCAGCCCCCACGCGAACTCCGCGAGCTGCGCCGCGGTCACCACCGTGATGCCGCCGAAGTTGACGTACACCACCGAGCCGGGCTGCTTCTGGGCGTCCAGCCAGCGGAGGCAGCTCGCGTCTTCCTTCCAGAGGTTCCCGCCGATCGCGTCGAGCTCGGCCTCGGTGCCTCCCGCGGCGGCTTTGGCGAACGCGGGCAGCGGGCCGACGGTGTAGAGGCGCGGGAACGTGCGGCGGAGCGCGTCGACGACGTCTTGCTCCAGCGCGTCGTACGTGTTGAGGATGAGCCCGCGGGCGCCGCGCGTGTTCTGCGCCTCGCCGCCGTCGAAGTTGAGCATCACGTCGTCCGGGTCAGTGGTTCTGATGAAGCTGGGCATGTCTTTCAGACGGATGCCATCCATTCCGGGGATCCAGTCGATGACAGTGTCCAGGTACCCATTAGTCAGGTCACTCTCATCTACAAAATTTACAGAACGAGAAGAATCATCTTCTGTCAGACAGAACTGTCAATCTGTACTAGCCAAGTACTACTCGGCACACACCTTTGAGTGGCACATAGCCTCTTCTGACGAGCTCGGCGAAGTGGAGGTAACCCATGAAGCCACAGGCGCTCGTAGTCCAGAACACCAAGGCCGGGATGCCCATCTCCTCGGCGACCCTCTGAGCGAAGCTCATGACGCCGTCGGCTATGACGCAGCTCACCGGCGTGCTGCTGTTGTTAAGCCTGACAAGCAGCTCCCTGAACGGTGCGGCGCTGTGCTTGGTGGTCGACAGGCAGAGCTCCGCGATGTCCTGCGTGACGTCGTCACCGTGGTCGTCGGACGGCGGCAGGCCGTCCGGGACGGCCTCGAAGCGGAAGCCGTCGGCGCCGTCCAGCGAGCCGGGGCCGCGGGACCGGAGCAGGCGGCGGCGGTTGTACTCGGAGTTGACGTAGGTGACGCGGAAGCCCCGGGCGTGCAGTGCCTTGGCGAGGTGCAGCATCGGCGTGACGTGGCCCTGCGCTGGCTGCGGGATCAGCACCGCGTGCGGCTGCCGCTGGTGCACCGCCGAGCTCATCGCCGCGTCAAACAGGCGCCGCTGACGGAGTACTCGGAGTTGACTGGTGATCCGCTTGCAAGGTCGATTTCGGCAGTGTTGGGTGAGGGGTGAAACGTACGCTTCGCCGGTGGATCTGTGCGTCGGCGAAGCAGTGGCGCGTGACGTTGATGGATTGATATGTTTATTAATCCTCGCGTGGGGAAAGACGACGGACACCTGCCCACCTGCGTGTAGAGGTAGGGGGTTTCTCGCTAGGGCGTGGCTACTGGTTAATCGACTGAAATGAACTTTGGGTCAGTCAATTGATCCCAAACTCTGTTACAGTCAAGCATGATTAATTAGGCAGCCACACAAGCCCGCGCATCGGCCGCACAGGAGCCATGGGCTGCTCCAGTCCAATACTGCCGAGCCAATCTTCGTCACAGTTTACAAGTCCTACACGTATATCTAGGTTGCCAATTTAATCACCCTAATATAAACTATGTAACACAAAAATTATATCTTTTGAAAATAGAACATCTGAAGTTTATATTGGTATTTTTTTTTTGTAATATATTACTTATATTAGGTTGGTCAAATTGACGACCTAGGGGTACGCGCACGCCTTGTAAACTGAGAGAGGTAGTATAGTATAATTGGCCAAATCTTTGTAGATGACCTATGAATAGCACTCTCAAACATAATTGCATTCAATGGTTAATGGCTATATGTGCAATCTCACACATGTATATTTATTTTTATGCATGTACAATCTCACTGATGAATAGCATTCTCACACATATTTATTTTTATACATTCATATATTTGGTAAATGTATTATTAATATGCAAAACTGAACATATTCGTGGCACTGGTATTACCCTTTCAGAAAAGAACTAAAAAATCAAAATAGTGAAGTTTTCTAAGAAAGAATGAAACCCTTTAAAAAGAAAGAAAATAAAAAAGAAACTTTCAAAACTTACACACAATTTGCTTTCAGATTGCACTTGTCGAAATATGCAAAGAATAAGCATATAATAGTGCATTTTTCACATTCTACTATAGTTTACACATAGTGTACCTGAAATGTATTTCCTTCAAGAAGTTAGGAAAAAATAACTTACGCACAACTAGCACCGAAAAATTCCACTTTATCGTAATATGCAAACATAATCATATAATCATGAAATTTTGGCACACAAAAAAACAATAAAGGAAAAAAAGAAAAAAAAAGAAAAACACATAGAAACACAAAACAGAAAAAATACCCACAAAAAAGAATTGAATTTCCTTAGGAAGAATGAATTAGTGGCATTGGTATACCATTTAAAAAAGGGAAAATAAATCTAAAACATACACTGATAAAATTTGCATGAAATATACATAAAAAATGTGCTTTTCAAAAATATGCAAGAATAAGCATATAAAAGCGGAACTTTTGCAAAAACAAAGTCTAAGAATAAATTATAGTCGCATTGGTATTAACCTTAAAGTAGACAAAAACAATATCAAAACAAGATTTTTTATGAAAAATAATGAATTAGTGGCGTTGGTATTTCCTTTAAGAAGAAAGAAAATTAATAACAAAAATTGCGCACAACTTCACACCTTACTTGCACTTTATCATAATATGCAAAAATAATCATATAATCATGAAATTTTGGCACATATTATATAGTATTTGTATGTATATAATTACCCTCAGCCAAAAACCCACAAAAACAAGAAATAACAATAAAGGAAAGAGAAAAAAAGAAAAATGCAACCCAAAAGAGCAAAAACGAGCCTAAGAAGCAATTCGACTGACCCAAAATAGGGGTCAATCAATTCCACGCAGCCCAACTCACCACAAAAATGACATAAAAAAACAAGACAAATGTCAAAGTAGAATGGGACGGTCACAAAATCAACTGGCTATAGCCCAGTCGACAAAATTTTATTTCAGGGCCAATCACTTTTTTTTGTAAACCACCTTGTAGCCCCACATGGCCACATATTCATCTCAAAGCATGTACGAAAACCATTGGTTTTGGCGACCAAAACTATGCTAGGCTGTGACGGAAGAGCACGTACATGTAGTCACCACGAACACATAAACATGCAGACACGCCCACATGCATACACACACGTGCACCACAGTCACTCATCATTAGCTTTTGAGTTGTGCGGATGGAGCATAATTAATAGTAAAAGTACTATGAAACTAAAAGAACTTCTTAAAGGAGAAACGAATTAAATTTGCACAAATTATTGGAATTGGCATTACCGTTCAAAAAGAAAGAAAATGAAAAAATTTGTAGACAACTCAGACAAAAATTGATTTTTTATAATATGCAAGAATAAATATATAATAGTGTAAACTAAAACAAAATAAAAAATAAAAAAAGTTTTCTATGAAAGAATGAATTCGTGGCACTGGTATTACCCTTTTAGGAAAAAACTATAAATCAAAATAATGAAGTTTTCTAAGAAAGAGTGAAAAGACTTACGCCAACTTTGCACTGAAATTGCACGTTGTCGTAATATGTAGAAATAATCATATAATCATTAAATTTTGGCACATATTATATAATATTTGTTTGTATATAATTATACTCAGCAAAAAACCCACAAAAAGCAAAAAATAACCAATAAAGAAAAGAAAAAAGAAAAAGAAAAATCCATAGAAACAAAATACAAAAAAATGAAGTAAAAATACCCATAAAACAAAGAATTAAATTTCCTTAGGAAGAATGAATGAGCGGCATTGGTATTACCATTTAAGAACAAAAAAAATGGAAAAATAATCGATAACAAACACTGACAAAATTTGCACTAAATATACATAAAAATTGCGCTTCTTTACTATATGCAAGAAATCATATAAAAGTGGAACTTTTGCAAAAAAAAAGTAATCTAAGAACACATGAATAGTGGCATTGGTATTAACCTTAAAGTAGAATGAAAATGAAATAAAGACTAAAACAATATCAAAATAATGATTTTTGTTGAAAAATGAGTTAGTGGTGTTGGTATTTTCTTTAAGGGAAATAAAATTTATAAAAAAAAAATTACGCACAACTTTGCACCGAAATTGCATTTCTCGTAATATGCAAAAATAATCACATAGTCATGAAATTTTGGCACATATTATATAGTAATTGTATGTATATAATTACACCCAGCCAAAATCCCTCAAAAAACAAAATTATAACCAATAAATGAAAGAAAAAAAGGAAAAAGAAAATATGCAAGCCAGAATTAAACGAGCGCAACCAAGACAAAGAAATCAGCCCAGTATTGATTCGACTGACCAAAACTATGCGTCAATCAATTCCTGGCAGCCCAGCCCAACAACAGAACGAAACATGCAAAAAAATTAAATCATCACAGATTACAAAGCAGGATCAAACGAATAGAAAATTGACTGACCACAAAATGAAAAGTCAGCTGACTGAATTGTAGCTAAAGTGTTCTCGCCATCCTGTTGGATCGACCAATTATCACTCACCTGCGCAACCCACTAGCTTGTTTGGTACTCCCTCCGTCCATTATATAATATAGAACATTTTTTACACTAGTAAAAAACGAGGGAGTATACATTTGTCGTTGTGTGCTAGTGTACGAGTATAGTGGTGCTAGTATACGAGTGAGGTTGCTAGCACAAAAGTTAAACCACTGGAACATCCAAAGGAATATATGGGTGAAACAATCATCTATGTTGAAAATCTTTCAATGCCTATTTTTTAAGGAATGCCATATCAAACTTCCCGCTGCAAATTCCCACCTAAACCAAATTAATTCTAGAAGGATCAAGTATGTTTAAGGGGATGGATAAGGAGGCCTCTCAAGTCAACCTTCACTCAAAACAAACGGTGTGTCATTTGAGATATTTAGTCAAAAGTTATATAAGTTCTCACACAAGCTGTCCAGATATCAATTACAGAACGAGGCTCGACAAATTTGATTCTGCTACAGCTTGAGACTCACAAGTTAACATGTAATTTGGACTTGTTTTCACATCTAACTAGTAGGTGTCTCTGGTATAAGTACTCGACTTTGAGAACCAGCGCCCACGCCGCCCCATTTATGGAACGGCCCAACATCATGGCGACATGATCGCTCGCCCAGAAGCTCGGTCATGGTTGACCATTAGACCATTGACTTTCGAAAAAGAAAAAACTGACAAAAAGGGAATAGATTCAAAAATATATGGTTTTGAAAACATTTACAAAATCAAAAAATTGCAAATTTTAAAAAGCTCATGGTGGTTTTGAAAAAAATGTGGTTTTGAAAAAAGTTTATTAATTTTGATTTTTTTGCAGATTAAAAATAATGAATTTGAAAAATGTTCAACAATTTTGAAAAAAACGGTTTTGAAAAAGTTTGCCGATTTTGAATACGAAATTCACTAAAAAGTTGAAAAATAATTAAAAGTTCATAGATTTTGAAAAGATAATGAAATTTGAAAAAAAGTTCACTAGAAAGTTAGTAAATTTTTTAAAAAGTTCACAAGTTTGAAAAAAACTCATGATTTTTTTAAAAAAAATTGAAGTTGAAAAAGATTCACAGATAATCAAAACTGGAAGAATATGGGCCAACCCGCTGGTACACCAGTATGGAATTTTATTTTATGTGGCTATTAAGGTGTCTTTTTACGGATTAAGGATATGTTGGAGTTGCTCCTAGATAAACTAATCTTCGATTTTCGTTGCAAAAAAAAGAACAATCTTCGCTTGATATTCCGCGCGACACTGGGACTCACAATCCGGTTTGGACTCGAGTCTAAAGCGTTCGATCAGAAAGGAAGGGTTTTGGTTTGATCCAGATAGCAAAGGGGGTGCACCTCTCTATATGAGACAAGACGACCGTTTGGTCCCCCAAATCGTAACCTAGGGTTCAAAATTTGAAATCCCAAATCGAGTGGCATGGAGAGCCCAGCCGGCCACCATTTGAGACTACCCACAATGGGAGTAACATATGTGGTAACATCACACATCTCTAGGCAAAACACATGATGTGGCAAGTAACTAATGAGGAAAGAGATGCATGTGGTGACA